TGTCTCTGACAAAATATCTCTACTCTCTGGTGAGTTGCAATTCAGCATTCTCTTCCCCCCAGACCATTCGACTTGCTAACTTGCCTCGTTTTTTCCTCAGGTCGAGACTTTTGGCACACGAACCCGCTCCCAGCATTCAACGTTCCATCCATACGTGTAAGCGACGGACCAAATGGCGTGCGAGGAACCAAATTCGTCGACGGCGTACCTGCTGCCTGCCTGCCCTGTGGTACCGGTTTAGCAGCCACCTGGGACCAAGACCTCCTGTACAAAGCAGGCACGCTGATCGGTAACGAGTGTATAGCGAAGGGCGCCCACTGCTGGCTCGGTCCTACAGTGTGCATCCAGCGATCTCCCCTCGGTGGCCGTGGCTTTGAGTCGATGGCAGAGGATCCTTACGCAACGGGCAAATTAGCTGCTGCTTACATCAAAGGTGTACAGTCTACAGGCGTTGTGTCCGTTATTAAGCACTGGCTGGCGAATGACCAGGAACATGAGAGAGTTGGAGTTAACGTTGTTGCGAGTGAGCGCGCTTTGAGGGAGATACACATGCTTCCTTTTCAGATCGCGCTTAGTGATGCAGCGCCTGGCGGTGTCATGGCTTGCTATAACAAAGTCAATGGCAAACATGTTTCGGAAAACAGGGATTTCCTTGACTCTTTACTCCGCGAGGAGTGGCAGTGGAAGGGTCTGATCATGAGCGATTGGTACGCAGAAATCCCCGCAGTCCCTCCTAAACCAAAGCTGATACTAACATTCATCACTTGCTGTAGGTTTGGGACTTACTCTACTACCGAAGCCGTCAATGCAGGACTGGATCTCGAAATGCCAGGACCAACGAGACAACGTGGCCAGCTTCTCGACCTTGCAGTATCGACCCGAAAGGTGTCCCGGTCAACCATAGACACGCGAGCGCGAAACGTTCTCGAGTTCGTACAAAGATGCACAAACGTTCCTGTTGCTGCAGAAGAAGGTGGACGCGACTTTCCCGAAGATAGGCAGCTCAACCGAAAGCTCGCAGGCGACAGCGTTGTCTTATTGAAGAATGAAAGTGGCCAACTTCCCCTCAAGCGACCTTTCAAAAGCATTGCGTTGATCGGACCAAACATGAAGACCACTTCCTTCTGTGGAGGCGGCTCTGCCCATCTTCAGCCTTACTACACTGTTTCTCCCTACGACGGGATCGTGGCCCAACTACCGCCTGATGTCGAGGTACGCTACGAAGTTGGTGCTTCGGCAAGAGGTTGGAATCCACTGCTGCAGGGGGGTATGATCACCACGCCGGAGGGAGCACCGGGTATGCGAATGCGCTTCTACAGTCAGAGTCCCAGTGTACCTGACCGCGAGATTATCGACGAGAGCCATCTACCTAATTCCTCTTGGCTACTGATGGGCTACTCGCATCCGAAACTAGACAAGCTCTTCTACACAACTGTAGAAGGCGATCTCGTCATTCAAGAATCAGGACCTTTTGAGTTTGGGCTCGCAGTCTATGGCACTGCGCGACTCTATGTCGATGGTCAACTCCTGATCGATAATAGTCTCGTCCAGCGCAGCGGGACATTCTTTTTTGGTAAAGGAACTGTCGAGGAAAAGGCTGAGATGCACCTTGTTCAGGGCCAGAAGTACCGCATCACCATCGAGTATGCGAGCGCACCGTCTTCCAAGCTCGTCAAGCCAGGCGTGGTCAATTTTGGCGGTGGTGCTGGGAGAGTTGGTCTAGCAAGTGCAGTTGACCCTGAAGTCGGGATCCAGAAGGCCGTCTCCGCAGCGCTACAGTCCGATGTGACCATTTTGTGCGTTGGGATGACGAGTGACCAAGAGTCTGAGGGCTTTGACAGGCCTCATATGGATCTTCCTGGAACACTTCCTCGGCTTGCGTCGGCTGTCTTGGCTGCCGCTCCTGACACCATCGTTGTTACGCAGAGCGGCACTCCGTTCAGCATGCTCTGGGTTGAAGGAGCCAAGACTCACGTGCATGCTTGGTTAGCTGGAAACGAGACTGGAAATGGTATTGCTGATGTTTTGTTCGGCACAACCTGCCCCAGTGGAAAGCTCCCGCTTTCGTTTCCACGCCGTATACAAGACACGCCGACCTTTTTGAACTTTGGTAGCGAGAGGGGACGTGTTATCTATGGTGAAGATATCTATGTTGGGTATCGGTATTACGAAAAGGTCGAGCGCGAAGTGCTGTATCCATTTGGGTGAGTGAAGAGGACGAGACTTTGCTTAAGACAAACTGACATGATATGTATAGACACGGTCTATCTTATACTACGTTTACGTACGAAAAGCTGAACGTCACATCTTCGCACGTAAGCTTCGAAATCACCAACTCTGGTTCCGTGCCTGGAGCCGAAGTATCCCAGCTTTACATCGCTGCCGACGAGGCTACGTCTTCTATCCAGAGACCTAAAAAGGAACTCAAGGGTTTCAAGAAAACGTACCTGCAACCTGGTGAGACGAAGAGGGTAGAAATTCCGCTGGATAGATTTACTACATCCTTTTGGGATGAGGAGTTACATTGCTGGCTAAGCGAGAAAGGTTTGTATACAGTATTGGTAGGATCGAGCAGTAACAAGGTTTTGCTTGAGGGGGATTTGCGTGTGGAGGCAACAACTAGATGGACTGGGCTTTGAGGAGTATTAGATAGTATGAGAAGGGATTCATACAAGCTGTCATATTGGCTAAGCTCTCAGTATATGGAGGCATTTATTCTTTGATCATGAATCTTGGACATGCATTAGTTTGTGTTTACCAGTTATCTAAGTCAACAGCTCGGGAAAAGAATAATGCGTTGAATGATTGTTTTATCGAACTTGAAGCTTTAAAGAAAAAGTTGAAAGAAACCATATCGCAATGAATTTACCTCTGGTGTAACGAGATACGTACTTTTTCCGTCACCGAAGCAAAGTTCTTATTTTCAGAATACCCTAAGACAGCCACAAGGGTCATAACGAGTCACTTGATCCTGTAGGCTCTCATCTTTAATACAGCAGAAACTAGTCTAGCCACTAGGGGAGCACTAGGGGAGCACTCCGGAAGGCTAACGACATTAAGCCTCGGTTGGTATAACCCTTGTTAGCGTATGCAACCTGCTGACAGGTGGCGGAAGGGTGCCTAGTGGGTTTTGTATCGGGGAGCTCCGCCGACGGGTTTAAACACCATGATTACGATGGCGATCCGATGGACGCATCCGAAGTAAATGGCCTTGCATTTTTTTCCCTCCATAACCCTTATTTCTCTTCCGTACAAGAGCTGTTCAAAGACCAATTGATATCAGTAGTTGACTATATATGACTCTCATTCATCGACTGCCATCGCCTATGTCCTAACCATCGACATCGCGGTCAATGTAGACATGGCCAACAACATCGAATCAACCTCGCAGGATACCCTTCCTCCAACACCAGCCATGACAGAAAAGGATGAACGCGAGGGCTTGCCTCAGACTGTCAGTCATTTCCTGGACTCGAACGGTCCAGATGACCCAGATCTACCATTGAATTGGCCAAAGTCCAAGAAATGGATAAATATCATGATAGTATCTATTCTGACACTCTTAACGTACGTGCTCTCATCAAAGCGCCCAGATATACTCCATTTCGCTGACACATCCCCCTCACAACAGCCCCTTTGCATCATCCATGATCGCACCAGCAATCCAGCCCATCATGGACGAAATGCACGAAACGAATCCCAACATTGGTTCATTCATGGTATCAATCTACCTCCTCGGCTACGCCTTCGGTCCTCTCTTCCTCGCCCCGCTCAGCGAGATCTACGGTCGACTCCCCATATACCGCATCTGCATGGTCACTTTCCTACTTACAAACATCGCATGCGCTCTGTCGGTCAACATGCCCATGCTTATAATCTTCCGTCTCCTGACCGGCTTGGCCGGCGCGTGTCCGTTAACTATCGGACCTGCGAGTGTTGCAGACTGTTTTTCTCAGCAGGAGCGTGGTCGAGCTATGGCTATTTGGAACATGCCTGTCTTGCTGGGCCCGAGTCTTGGACCTGCTGTTGGCGCGTATGTCTCGAGAGGTCTGGGGTGGAGGTGGAACTTTTGGCTGCTTATTATAATGGTAGGGAACTTCGTTTCTGATACTTCTATATCCTGGTTGTACTGATATGTGTTACAGACTGGAGCTGTTCTTGTTGTCTGCGCTTTCGTCCAAAAAGAGACTCATCATCCAACAATTCAGAGAAAGAAGCTCAAGACACTACGAAAGGAGCGTGACACTGAAGACTTATCACCCACTACACCGCACAGACAACTCATCAAAAGAAGTCTGGCTCGCCCATTGAAGATGCTTTTCTTGTCACCGATCATCTTTGGTCTCTCATTCCTGACCGCGATCGCCTACGGAACTCTATATCTTTTATTCACGACGGTCTCCGAAACCTTCAAAACAAGATACGGCATAGTCACCAACGTCGGTCTTATCTATCTCGGCTTCGGATGCGGTCAAATTGTCGGACTGATACTCTTCGGCATGGTCTCAGATCCAATTCTCAGAAGAATGGCCCGAGGGGGCGAACTCAAGCCCGAGTACCGCCTCCCCCTCATGATCCCATGCAGTGCGATAATCCCAGTCGGTCTGTTGATATATGGATGGACGACAGAGTATGGAGTCTTTTGGTTTGTGCCTGTTATCGGCACATTCATGATTGGCTTTGGGATGATCACTGTGTTTACATCTGTGAGCACTTACTTGGTTGACGCGTTCCCTACGTATGCTGCTAGTGCTACTGCGGCGAATACAGTGCTTAGGAGTATTGGAGGTGCGCTTTTGCCTCTTGCGGGTCCAAAGATGTTTGATACCATTGGCCAGGGATGGGGAAATACACTGCTTGCGGGTGTATCTTTGGCTATGATTACTATGATTGTTATCTCCTACAAATATGGGGAACGCCTGAGGACAGGAGCAAAGTTCCAGCTAGACTAAGATGCATGTTGTTACAAGAATGAAGTACAATAAGATCTATTACAAGTCTTAAATAATATTTGGTGAGCTTGGCTGAAACCCGTCAAGACCCCATGTCACAAGTCGATAGCATGAAGCTACGCCACCTCTCGTTTCGTGAGAATACTTCTCAAGTCCATGCAAGAAACTAACAACGGTCTCACGCCAATCTCCAGGAAGAACTAGTCGCCCAGATGCAGTTGCGGACTGGGACTGGAGGCTCCGAGCAGCACCAATCAGTATCATGGAACAAGCTGTACTATTTCGAATCCATATCCACAGTCCATGGTCCAGTTTGTTCATTCGATCCACAGCTTTCAGTCTCCAGGCACAGTACTGGAGGCCCAAGGAGGCTATACGGACAATCTCGTCATCCAGAGCACTGGGGAGTTTGAGGTCGTAGTTTAGACACAGCCGTACGAACGACCGACACAGAAGCTCCTTGATGAATAGATACCGCGAACGGAGGATTCTTTTGTAGATATTCGACTCGGAGGAAATAGTTGCATCCGGCGGCGGGAACGATATTTCTGGTGGGAGGGACAGATACCAGTCCTGTAGCTGCGAGCCAAAAACCTCATATGAACGCAGTAAAGAGTTGGCTTGCGCTTCGCTGGGGCATCCAGAGATCTCGACTTTGGCGTCGATGATGCGGTTGATCAAATGTCGGGCAGCGATGTCTGCGAGGAAGTAGTACCAAGCTATAGTCTCGTCGAACAGACAGTTCGCTGCTGGTGGCGATGGAAACGTGAGGCGATCCTCGATGTGTTCCAGCATTGAGCCTGGTAAACTGGGTATTTCGTAGCGGATCTCGCTATGTGTGTCCAGGTGTGTTAGTCATAATATATACAGGCATGGCTGCTTACGTACACTTCCGATTTATATGCAGTGTAGAAAATGCTTTGCTTGATTGCTTGTGGACTAGAGGGGGAATTCGGCGGCCCAGCAGACATAGTGGGTTCCCTACAAATTGTGAGCATTGGCATCGTCGTTGATAACCTGATTATGTCTTACCTCGCCCATATTGCAGAGTAGCAGGAGTTTCCGGCCATGGTGAAGTACCTCCAGGCCTCGAGTGGCTGTAAATTGCACATGAACCAGATGCTGTAACTCACGTCAATATGCTTGCCTCCGTATTCGAGAACTACGAGAGGTATGTCCTCGCATCAAAGCATCTTACCCTGCCAAACACAAGCACTGGGCTGACTCCAATGTATTATGACTCATTGCTCGCCCAAGCCTTTTACAAGCGACGCTCCAGTACCTATAAGCAATATCCGTCGTTTGGTCAACATCCCAACTGTTGTTGCTTCTGGGTGTTTCGACATGCGGATCCTGACATAATGCACCGATGGCACACACAAGGGCAACAAGACATGTCTGCGTCGTCCAGTCCAGTCCATTTTCTGAAACCTTTATCACGTACTGGTCGAGTACAGCGACGTCTAGAATGGGATTGACGCTGTGGACAGTACTGAGATAGCATTTCTGCAGCCTCTTTAGCTCTGGGAAACTTATTGGGGGGAGCTCGTCTGGCATAGCCATCAAGCTTCCGTTATCGATAGGGATAGGGTTGACATCTAAAGGGAACACATTCCATTTCAAGACGCTGTCGAGACCTTCGGAGAATCTTTCGACGTGACCTTCGGGAACTGCAATGGACTGCGGTGTAGCAGTCAAGTTGACCAGAGAGTCAGCTTCATTGTGCCTCGTTGGCTGGTGGGTTTGAGAGGGTGTATCGGCTACGCCCGAAGACCGTTGTTCCTTTACATCTTGAGCCAGGTCTTGGACGGCCTGTAAGATCTGCATGCCCAAGTCATGACTCCTTTAGCCGCGAGAGATCTTGGTCAGTTCATGTCGTTAAGAAAAGGAAGAGGAAAAACATACAAGGGCCGATCTGCCGAGTCAACAGTATCATACCGACACTCCGAGTTGCTCTTCTCACAGTAGCTGCAAACAGGCCAGCGGCTGTCGCACTTCGTCTTCCTTGAGCGACACACTTTGCACGCTACAGCAACACGTCTTCGGGTTGGTTGGGCATCTCTGCCCGTTTCATTCGGCTGTGGGTCGAGACGAGTTCTCTTTCTCGGGCGACTAGCATCGTCTTGAGTGTGGGCTTGAGACTGCATCGCGGAGGATAGGAGAGATGGTATTGAGCAGAGTAACTTGGGACGTTCGGCTGCTCCCCGACCGTGTGCAGGCAGGGTTTATGAATGAAATAAGCGGAGTGAAAAGCTGGGGCATGCTAGTCCAGTGTAGCTTAGCGCTGAATTCTATGTTAGTTGGTGCCATCTACTTGTTGCGGAGAAAAGGCTTACCCTAGGCGAGGCAAGAAAACTCGGTATCTTGATCCTAAATGGAAAAAAGAGTACGATAATTTAGTATAAATTTAGCCTCAGTTGAGATTACCTTTTGCTGAGTTTATTTTTACTTATAACATGAGGCCTAATGTTTTATCAGTTAGGTAGACAAACATTGGCCACGATCCCTTGACAGCAAGACGAGGTCCGGATTAATAAACCCGCCAACTTCTGACAGATCATCCTTATCCTACAACATCACTGAGAGACCTTTTAATCCACCTTTGATCTAGCTCATCAATTGTGACTTTACCCACGCCTCTCGCCTTAACCGTCTGCCGCAGCGTTGTCCTGAGCAGATATGTCGGCGTACAGCTCCAAGCATGACACCAACTGTTATTCCGCACATCCCCATACGGACTCGCCATACAATCCTCCGCATCATAACATTCCCAGAACGTGTCAGCCCCTGCCTCCACCATACCGCCCCAATAAGACTTAATAAGATCCACGCATTCGTCATAGCATCCAACCATTGCGAGAGCGTCGCAAACGTGGTGCCATAGATAGGGGGTTAGTGGCTTCACAGCTTCTGGATGTGCAAGCGTGGCGAGGAGAGATTTTCGGGCGATTTCTGGAGGGAAGGCTTCGCATAAAACTAGCCACGCAGCTGACGCAAAGCTGACCTGCTGGGATTCTCCAGATACAAAGACACCATCCTTCAGGAACGAAGTCGCAGCGCCTGTCATCTTGAGGATCAATTCGTCATACGGAGGCTGCTTATTCAGCTGCATAGCGAGCTTATTCGTAATTTTCAGGCAATAGAGTAGCAAGCCATGTGCTCCCGCGCTCTTATCAAGACCTTTGGCCCAGTCGAGAAAAATAAAGTGCTTGCTGCTTTCAGCCTCGAAGGCGAAGGAGGTAAGATTGAGACTGCGTAGCATTCGCTTTGGGCAGTCCAGGACAGTTTCCCAAAGGAGATTCCCGGTTCTCGTGTCCCCAGAAACCTCAACATAGTCATAAACAATGGCGGCAAATAGAGCGTCATAGTCGGCGATGTAGTCTGTCGAAGCCGTCAACGTGGGCTTTTCGAAGATGCAGGCTGGTAATGAGCCATCCGCATTTCGAACTACTACAAACTGGAAAAGACATCTTTTGACAAGGTTGAAGTCCTGGAATGTGCTGTAATTTGCCAGCGCTTGTAGGCGGAGATCCCCAATCCACAGCCTCCTATCGCGTCTCGGGCCATCTTCGAATACGGTTTGCATACAGTCTCGTAGTGTGGAGATGCAAACGTGGTCGATGTCTTGCAGAAGAGGATCTGAAAACTCAACTGCTTCGACGTGATGGTCTTGACTGACGGCGCTGACTGATTCGCATTGTATGTTCGAGAACGATACCTTGAACTTAGGAGAGGTATCGATGATTTGAACGCGTAGGTATCTGAAAGAGTATCGGCGAGGTAGGTTTATTGTCTGCGGACATATGTCGACATTGATGATCTCGTCGGGAAGCCAAGCAGTGCTGATCCAGGTATTCACATCATTCATATCCATCGTCACATCAAGTGGCGACTCGCCAAACGTGAGACGCAGTCTACATGGAGCGTCCATATTTGGCCCAACGTAGTCCAAGTGGAATGATAGATATCCAACCATATGTATGCCGAAATCTAAGATAAAGTCGGATCCTTTCCCCCAAGACAGGGAGGGTAGTTTGTTGATGTCATGCTCAGCGGTGCGAGCCTTGAGGCCAAAGAATGACGGGCTGGCTTTTTCGAATCTGGCTATTCTCTGGGGAAGTCGGATGCATCGATGAAGTTTGGGGAGTAAGTCGTTTGCGATATGCTCAAACTCTTGGGCCATGGTTACTTGGGGATTGGAACTGTTCGATTCCCGGACCACGTTGTCTGGAGAGGATGGCACGCAGTAAGAAGCAAGCAGGAGGATAATTAATTCTCCAAAGGAAGAATCAAGGATTACAAAAGCCCGAGAATGGTGATTCTCGCCCCAAGATAAACCGAGATTGATAAAAGTGTCACTGTCATGTCTCTGGAGGTTGAGTTGTTGCCCCATCGCTTATCTGTCTCTGATTGGTCGCCGGGGAGGTTCCCCGATCAGTTGGAACCTCGTCAGCCAATCAACGGAGCCCAATCAGGGTGTAGGCCGCGGGGAGTCTCCCCGTGGTTAGTCCCGTGTTTGACAATATCAGAGGTCTAGAGCCGCCACTGAGCAAACACTTCAATATTTCTGCACTAGTTTCGTGGTAAGATCCAGTAGGAAAAACATTTGCAACCATGAAGCGTGTATTCCAGCCTTCACATCACCAATAGCTCAACTGCAACAAACGGCTAAAATATTAACCAGAGCTATGCAGCATCTTTGATGGTCGTGATCTTACTGAAGCTAGCTGTACCCCACATCATTCTATCAGCTGCCACGAGACTCAAGGAATAGACTGCAGTCCGTGACCTTCGCCCCCGGTATTTCTCCCCGACATCTTGAGCAAAGCCCTCGCGACAACCCCATGGGGAAAAATATTAGATCCATACTGTTGGATCAGACGAGAATACTTAAAGGCATGCGCCCGACAGCCTGTTGATCTACATCACTCATCCATCTTCTCCTATCATCAACAATAGTTAACATGTCTTCCATCAAGTCCAAACACGAAGTGGATGCCTCCAAGCTCGACGACGATGTTGCGGGATTCCACGTCGAGCAAGCCATGAAAGCATCTGAAGTCAAAGTCCAAGCAGGGCAGCTTTCTTCGGGATACGAATCCCTGAGCTTGTGGGAAACCGTCAAGGTCTTCAAAGTTGCTACGGCGTATTGCTTCGCTGCTGCATTCAGCGCTGCTACCGATGGATATCAGATTGGGTACGTTTCTCTCATCTCTCTAAATACCTTCGCGTGTCGTACTAATCCGAGCCAGTATCAACGGCAGTATCATCGCCAACAAGGGCTTCGTCCATCAATTTGCGACTGCGACCAATGCCGACGGAGACGAATACCTCATTGCTCCTATCCTAGCCGGCTGGAGTTCCATCATGTCTGTCGGCCAGATCATCGGCATGTTGACGATCCCCTTTCTGTCCGACAGATACGGTCGCAAGACTGCCATGTGGACCTATTGGACTATTCTTGTCAGCAGTGTCCTATGCGAGACCCTAGCCAGGATTTGGCCCGTTTGGCTCGCTGCTAAGCTCCTAGCGGGTGTCGGAGTTGGCTGTCTTCAATCGACTCTGCCAGTCTATATCTCGGAGTGTGCGCCTACCCGTATCCGCGGAGGCCTTCTCATGTGCTACAGTCTCTGGTGGACAATCGGATCTTTCTTCGCCTATATCGCCTTGCAGCTTCTCAACCGAAAGAACCCCAACATTTGGCTCACCCCAATTTACACCCAGTGGGCTCAGATTGGTATCATGTGTCTCATTTACGTTTTCCTCCCAGAGTCACCTGCCTGGTGCGTCAGTCGCGGTAACGCAGATCGTGCAAAGAAGCAGTTGCTGAGGCTCAACCGTGGCGTTGTCGACTATGACGAAGAGCGTCAGTACCAGATAATCGTCCAGACCTTTGAGCATGAGAGGGAGGTCGCGGCCCAGCAGAAGAAGGAGCACTGGTATGCCATCTTTCGTGGAATCGATGGCCTCCGAACTGTCATCTCGCTGTGGCCGAACCTGACCCAGCAATTCATTGGTCTAACACTTTTTGCGACCTTCGGAACCTACTTCTTCCAGCAAGCCGGCCTGGCTGACCCCTTTACGATTAAATGCATTACGTCTTCTATCAACATCACAACGCTGTTGATCGTCGTTTTGGTAGCCGATAAGATTGGACGACGTCGTATCTCATGCTACGCCACGACGCTTTCATGGACATCCTGTGTGGTCATTGGGATCCTTGGTCTGATCCCTAGGACAACGGCGACTTCGAACATCTTTGTGCTGTTCGTATGCCTCTGGAGTAAGTCTCTTCCACTATCCGGTCGTGCCATGATACTAAAAGTCTTCAGATGTTGGAATGATCTCTAACGGTGCTGCTGGTTGGGGCTTCATAGCTGAGATCTCCTCTCTGCGTCTTCGCCCGTATACCGCTGGGTTTGGAGCTGCCTGCACTTGTGTTGCTGGAGTTATTATGAACGTACTCACTCCTTATATGGTCAATGCTAACAAGTGGAACTGGGGTTTCAAGACTGGCTGGTTCTACGCTGGTGTCGGACTGCCTTTCCTTATTGGCACATGGCTTCTACTGCCGGATACATCGGGGTAAGCAGCAGAACATCAAACAGTATACTACACTATGTACTAACATCTTCTAGACGCACTGCGGCCGAGGTCGATGAACTTTTCGAGAGGAAGATCAAGCCTTGGAGGTTCAGCAAGACTAAAACCACGGCAGCTTAATGGCAGAACAAGGAACTGTTTGTTTTGGTCAAAGTTTGACTTGTCTAAAACTGAGAGTGCTTGGCTTGGGCAGCGTTCACGTCTGCTTTTGGCCATTCGTGTATTGGCCCCAAGTAGCCATTGGAGAAGGATAGGTTCGGGGACGTCCAATGTTAGCAATATGAATTTGATTGCATCGCTATTTTCGGCTATTATTGAGCTACACTGCAACTCCAAAGCAAACTGTGATCAAGAAGAAAGAGCTATGGTTCCCACGCGCTCTAGGGCAAGGTAAAGACAATATATGGGGTTTAGAGGCTGCCAGTATAAATCTATTGCATAATAAACCTTCTGAGAATCGGACTGCGAGGCGATTTATGAGCGGGGCTGGCCATAAGCGCATTAAGACAGCATCTGTTATCTAGGGCGATAATTAATGATTGACAAGGCAGTTTTATCCTACACTGTTGAGGTACCGTCATAGTCCATATTGATTGACAGTTAAAGCTTATAACATCTCAACGAGACATACCAAGCCAACACACTGAAAAATACGAATTAACTTCGCGTCTTTAAAGGCAATGTGTCCATATTTAGAAATTCTTTAGGTGTCATCTCGGCGTTTCCTATTGCGTTCAGATACGAGATACTATGCAATCGTGACTGGCATAGGTTAAGAAATCAGCCTCATTTTCAGTGCATATCTTATCCAGACAATGTACACCGTATTCTTAGGTCTCTTTCAGTTCGCTTAGAATTGAGTTTTAACGGTTCTGTCAAAGCTCTACAGTTAAACTCTATTTATTAGCTTTACGCCGTAGCAATTGGTCAGGCATAATAAGCCAACCACGCTTTTCGGTGTGGACCTGAAGAAAGAAGCACTCTGAAGAGATGCATTTGAGTCTAGTGTAGTTCCAATAAACACGGAAACCACATTCCTAATATCAACCTTATAATTTGTTTTCAGAAGAACAGTCCATGTTTCATTAAGTGATCAATATGTAAAATAGCACAGCGGGCACTTTTCGGCGTCTTTAATTAGGGTAAAGAATGCAATATTATTCATATAAAAGACATTGTGAGGAGGGACCAACCACGAGCAGTCTGTGCCGCTCTGAGTACATCTGTTTCGTCCCACTTCGAGTCATTAGTTAGACCGACCCTTGTTAGTATTTGACTTCCAACGCACGAATTCTAAGACATGACGTAATAAAGTCGCCAAAACCCTGGTATTTCATAATGGGATTTAAATGATGGCATTTGATCTTCCTTGTTGTTGTTCTTCCGACCGAAGAGCATGCTTTCCGGTTTCCACCTTTATCCTTCTCTAACACCAAGTCCAGTTATGTATATTTATTACTTTCAGCGTAGTGCAGTAAGCTCTTAGCCACAATCTAGTTCATTACTTGGACATATCTTCTAACATTAAAGGTCAAAGTTTCCATTATGAAGAGAAGGACCAAAGTACGACATATTCGCCCCGAGCCCTTCATGGATCAACAGCATCCTCAAGGGCAACAACCCAAAGAATGCTTCGAAGTACAAGACGAAAAGCGCCTCCAAATGCAATCAGTTTCAAAGAACCAATTCAATACAAAAGATTTGGAGTTCGGTAATCAAGTCTTCGAGGAACGCTCTGAAGGCGATATGGCGACCATTTTTTGCAGCCAAGAAAGACAAATTGAAAGTCTTCAAGAAACCGTTAGTAATCTAATTAGTCAGAATAAGCTACTGATGTCTAGGTATTACGATAGGATGGACGAATCAGTCTCTCTACGATCAAACGTCTTAACTTCAAATCATGATTTACAGAACGCTCTTTATGACACGAAGGCTATGGCGTATGCTGTCAATGAGCTTCAAAGTCAGGTTTTGCATCTGAAGCAGCCAAAGATATCAATGACCACGCCCAGATCAACCATAGTAAACAAATTACTGAACCCGCCGCTTTCAACTGCCAAAGACTCCCGTCCTCCCATGCCTATTCAAATTCAAATGGCTAAGGATCTCAAAGGGGCCCTCGATAGGGCGATGAGTGCTAATGAAGCTCTTTATATCTACACCAAATTCGAAGACTGGCTTGGTACCGAAGCTCTGCAGTCGGTGATACTCGTCACCTGCTGTGTGTGCCAGAAAGTCAGGTTCAGGCAAGCTGTTGGCTTCTCTAAGCCTAGGCCCCTGAACGAATTTATCGAGAGAGACCTCAGGTTGGGATGCGAGAATCCCGTCTGTTCAGTTTGTTTTCTCAAATCAATTTTCTCGTCTTTAGCACGATTGAGAGAGACTTGGTGGAAAGTTCGAGGCTTAGAGATATGCTTGCCATGTCCTTGTGGCTGCTCCCCGGCAGGAGTTCACATAAATGATCGCAGCTCTTTATTGCAGGTATTACAGTACCTAGGGAATGAAAAAGCTGAGTTCTCAGTGATCAGAATGTAAGATGCAGTCAATAGTCTAGAAACAACAAAACAACTAATCGTCGACAGTTATGACACGATTCTGCAGCTAATGCAAACCCTTTATTTTGTCGAGCCCCGACTCACACCAAAAGCCAGAAAGGTGGCAGCACGCCTGCATTTCAAGATGATGAAAAATGGCTTGATGCATTCGCCCTTTGACCAGAGATATAGACGCCCAACTCGAAGCGAGGTCGGATCACCGTTGAAAGCAGACTTCAACCATGTTGGACTATATAACATCGACGAAGGTCGGAAAACATTACAGGTCCCTATCTTCACACAATTGCTCCGGACTGAGAAGACTCCCATTGACTGCGTCATCTGTGCTGAATCTATCCATAACGTCTCCTATGATGCTGTCGATGAATGGATAGAAGTCTGTGTTGAATTCGATGGTGATTGGGTATGGAAGATCTCACGATTCCCCAAGATATTGCGAGCAAGGTGCAAACATGCAATCGATTTCTGCACGTCTTGCTTACAAAAACATATTGGATCCCAGTTGGAACAGCTAGGCAAGAGCGCCTGCGACAACATCCGTTGTCCGTCTCAAACATGCCAACGGTTGCTCACCTACGAAGAAGTACAACTATATGCACAGCACGAGACATTTGCCAGGTGAGCTTTCTTCCATATCTATACAGCATGTTTACTAATATCATGACGATACAATAACTATTTGCAACTCAAAGCGTTGCACCGCGCTCTACCTTTCCCATAGCGCTTAGCCGAGAACTGCTTTAGTGGTTAGATGCATAAATTGATCTTGGATAGCTATATTTTGTGCGCCCAATATGGATTCCAACTGTATTTCACTCATCAAAAGCTGTCAATTTATTAGTTTATACGTGTGTGAGGCGCGTGATGTGAGCCATCAGCTGTGGGGTCTTAGTTTCAAATTACATACACATAAGATAGGAGAATCTTGGATGTATTACACCGGACATATCTATCTGGATGCTCAAGAATTCTGGCACTTTGTCGATATGCCAAGTCGCTACTATTACAGAGTCTATATCAATGTTACCGTCGTTCTCTACCTTACGCCTCAGCCTATTGGAACCCCATTGAAGCGAACAGAGATTATTTATGAAAGGAGGTTCAGGAGGCTACGCTCGGGATATATACTCTAGCCGGCGAGTCTCGCCTCATTTCACGACAGATAACTCCACAAGGTCAAACCTCTATGGAACGTCTCCAGGCAGCCACATAGAACAATTTGGGACAGAAGTTCATGCAAGTGACCGACATGATATAACATATTTCACGCTGCGGTGCGCGGTGAGCTCATCACAAAAGATCAGCTTGCCACAAGATACCATCTAAGCTACGTTCAGCGAGAGGGTGTAGTTCCGAACGCGGAAGTGTCTTCGACACACTGTAGCCGAGAGTGACCACCACATCCAGCTAGCCACAGCCTAAATTTCCAGGACACCCGTTACAGGTTGGATCACTGTATGTAGATAGTCTCTTTAAGTGATCAGCTCGCCACTTCACGTTGTCGCCTGGGATGTGCATAGAATAGTTGAAGGAATATCAGCGAGCCACGAAACATGACCAACTCGTCTTCAGTAGATGCCAACCAGCGCGCAGGACCATAATCCAGTCACAGCCATCAACCGGCCACCGGCTCAACTCGAGTGATGACAGTGTATGATGTTGACTGCTCTTAACTCTTGAACATCTCATTCGAAGCCGTGATATTGCAGGCTCGGTTATTCTCTATCGAGGCCTGAGATAAAAGGCACAAAAGCGCTCTATGAGATCTTAGAAGAACTTGTCATCTGTATAAGTCCCATAACACCACCTGGATATATCTTCTATCTTCTCTATCACTCACCTATATCTTTCAGCTCAATCCCCTAACACTATCCAGATACTCAAGTCTTAAACTACACTTTCCAAATCAGTCAAAATGGTCGTCATAAGGGTAACAAGATCTTCATCCCCGCTGACCAACTCATCACTACCGAGGTCAGGGTAGAGTGGTCTAAGAACTGGACCGATCACTCGGAGGCTGCCAGTACAAATCTGTCGCTTAATAGCCCTTCTTAGATCCGGACTATAAGGGGATTTATAGGCCAGGCTGGCTATAAGTAGATTAAGATAGTGGCTAGTACTTAGGGGTAAGAATTAATAATTAATAAAGTAGGTTTATTTAATATTATTTAAAGTAATATATTAATCTATATTTGGAGATTTATTAAGAATTACTTAAGCGTTTTCTGTTTATATTAAAATAGTATTATATTTAACACAGTTTCTAGCTAAATCAATAGAGACTCTATAAATATTAATACTTAAGTACTAATAGCTCCAGTGCTATTTACAAATGAGGATAAACCGTAAGCCTTCTCCTCGCTGCGAGTAGTCCTCATAGCGGGCAAGAAGAAGGCGGGATGGACAATCGTCAAAGCGACACTAGCTAGCGCAACCATTCTGTTATTGACATCAGCCGTTAGTTTCTCAAGTGTTCTAATGATCGAGAACTCACAAGCCATCTAGAACGAGAAACTCCATCTCGTTCCGCATCAACTCGTTTCCCCAGCCGCCGGCCATCTCAGGTAGCCTACAATCGACTCGTAATTAGTATTCCTCTCATGGACAGGATGAGGTAAACATCACATACCTGTATATGCATCGAATAAGTACAACCAGGTATGCGAACCCCACGGCGCACATAAAGACCTGTGTGGTTTGGTAAAATTTACCAACTGCAGGCTTGTGCCTATGCTGCCATCGGCGTGCGGCATAGATCGAGGCTAAAATACCGCAAATAACCATCGTAACGACTTGAAAGGCAATACCGGCAATCATAACATTGTTCCCGATGTCCAGTAAGTGCTGGTTTTCCGAGCCAGCAGAGCCTGCAATCCCTCCTCCTGCAGCTTGCAACAAGATCGACCCAATATCGCAGCCTATAAAAATCCATGTGTACAGCTGAGGTTTCAGGAAAGAGTATTCCGGGTTGTTGCACCGGATGAAATGCTTCATAGTTAAATAAATGCCAGCTGCAATGAATGATGGAGCGATAATAAGGCAGATGATCTGCATCCTGAAACCTGAGCTCGACCAAGGATTCTGATGCATCATTAACCTCCCCACATACCCAACTGCCTCCAAAACGCATCCGAAAAAGATGGCAAACGAATAGGAGTACACCCGTTTCCAGGTACCAAACACTAGCTGTATGATGGCGCAAAGGATGAATACAGTAAGTAGGGTGGCATTTGCGCCCAGGACTGGTGCGTAGCCGTACGTTGTTGCTTCGACTGGGCATGTTGGGCCGAGTTCCGTGCAATGTGCTGTGCTCGACATCTTCGAAATTACTATATATCGATGTTCGTGCGTGGTCTTTGAGGTTCTTGGTGTTTCGATCGTAGGCAGATGATGATTTGAAGTTATATGTTAGGGCGGTGGACTGTGTGGAAGAAGGGATAAGCAGGAGAGGAAAGCTACTTAAGGATTTAAAGGGGCGGAAGAGGGCTCTCATCTCTCAAGGCATGGTCAGGCTCTCTTAAACGGATTTCAGTTCTGTATTATGTTCTACTTGCGCGGTGGAACAATTTAACGGCCATGACAGGATGGTTAAGCTTGCATTAACGCTAGCCCTCGGCGAAGGGGATCCTTGCTTGAGAGTTGGCGCTAACCAACAAGGGCAAAACACCTCGCAAAAACTCGCATAAGAACCCACAATCTAGACTAGCCATCTCGCACCGCAACTTGTTGCTGCCTCGGTTTGCCTCGGGTACTTTGTACATCAGGGGTGGTATACGAATGACTGATGCCGTCATCGATCCATATCATCGCATCTTTACATTGGAACGTTAAGATTGCGCTTCGTGTTTACCTGCAAATCTTGCTAGCAATGCTAATTCTTCATTTAGATCATACATTTGGGCCACTTAAGGATTTCCACCAAGTTGCACGAGTTGGAGGGGCCACGAAATCCACGGTCTCCAATACTCTCCTAGTAGGTCATCACTTACAGACACAATATCCTTTCCCCATCCTTCCATCGCCCAACAATCTTGTAGGGTGTGCATCAAAGCTCCGAAGAAAGAAAACAGCACAATTGCTGCCGGCTGGCGTTGTCTGAGGAGTACAAAATAGTGTTCAGGTGTGTACAATATAAATACGACAGGCCCGGTAACTCTATTGTGACTCGTCCACTCGCTTGTCGTTTCGAGCTCGGTATTCTTAGTCTCAAATAGGTTGGTGAAAGCATAACATTTGCGAAGAATCACGAGAGTCTCGTCATATGTTGCTTTATCATTGTTGTCCTCCCATATCTTTGCTAGTGAAACAAAATGCTTATCTTGCTCACACAGCACCTTTTTTGAGTCAAGACTTTCCCAGCAACCGCCGAACCTTCTAAGAACCTTGAAGGTGTCGCTCTCGATGGCGGATTTGACGCTTTGGAAGATGGAAGTGATGCCTCGAGTCAAGGGAATCCAATCTGCACCCAATACACGAGTCCTTCGATCTTCAATGGTGGTGTCATTATCACGTCCAAACCGGCCCATTATAGAAAACACATAAAGTAGGTTCAGCAAAGACCATAGGAATATTCCACAATCTTTTCCGATATCGTTATTGCACTGAGTGATAGCAGATTGAAAGCCTTGAAGGGATCTAGTATGGTGTGACGCAGCAATAACTATGTGTTCAGACTGCTCTGCTGGGTTGAGGTATGCGACATGTAAAGCAGCGAGACTAAGAACTTGTTGGAGAACAAATGGATGTTGAAGGGCAACGGTCGTGGCTGTATTATGCCAGAAGTTGCATATCTCTGGGCCTTTTGCTATGTTCAGACTCGTCGATGTGATCCAGTGGCGGAGTAGTCTCATATCTTGAAGGTCAAAGAGAACTCCGGATGCGGCGTTGGCTGATGACGCCCTCTCTGGTAATAAAGCCGGGCGGTCCGGTAGTGATGGTATCTCATCGATGACATTCGGCGGGTACTGACAGACCTGATTTCGGCGAGAGCAAGCCCTACATCTCGGTTTATCCTCGCTGCACTGTTGTCAGGAAGACAAGCAAGGATATTAGCTGCATGATTCTCAACGTGGAAATATCCGATTCTAGCTGTGGATACCGAGCCTTGAACAAAGGGATGGAGTTGTGACTACTGGGATTCTACACAAGGACGATCGAACAGGCAAGAATGCTTACCTTGACTCGGCGTTTTTTGCAGTTGAAACAACCAGTCCTGACTTTTCTGTGTGATGTCGGTGCCATCGGATAACAAATACGTCATCAGCTGCCAATCGCACAGGCCTGCTACAGAGTCGCCTGGAATTGGAGGCGTTTCTCGTCTTAGATGCGTGGGTAACGGGCTTTTGGCACCAGAACAACTGAGCAAGAGGATGGAACTTCGTACGTTCGTTCCGAGGATTTGGATGTCGTAAAGTTTTAAATGAGCGGTCCGAAGGTGGCAGAATTGTGGACCCAGAACCGAACCTGAGACCGAGGCAGGGTGAGCAACCGATTGGTTCTAGCAAGATTGATAGGAGTAAGGTAAGTTGTAAGCGAGAATATCCAGCCTTTATGCTAGTTATTTTAGTTCCTTAATTAATACACTTTTTCTAAATTCAAGTGCAAACGCATGTACATTATTTACATAAAACTAGCAGTTGAGAGAATGGCATTTAGTCTACTCAAGGTCGTGATGCATGTCTTTGACGCTCAGTCCACAATTTGGCGGGCAAAGTGGGCCTTGTTTTCCAAGCGCTAATCGTTAGAAATTACCTGATACGGTATTAGTATACGACATGCAAAGCCTGAGATAAAGAAATGGATCAGTGTGATCATCCGTTAAGAAAAGGCCAGTGATTTGAGCTAGAGAGGAAATATGTACATTAATGACGCCACAAACTGAATTAATAACCAATACCACCCGCTTTATCCAACGTCTCCTTACACATGCGCAGAAATACAGCTCCCAGTTCCTTGCGGTGTAGAGGAATTAGACTGAAGAAAAGAGAAGCTGTGACACGGAACAGAGTCTTGCGATGTAGCCTCACAGAATAATTGTTCTTGAGGAAGTCGAAAAATTGCTCCTGCAGCTCGTTCAGCAACTCAGTATCCGCCTCATCCAACAGCGGCTTATCATCCTCTAGGGCTCCCGTGAGGTCATAGTTATTAGCGCTCATGAAGAGGATGTAGTCATACCCGCACAGCGACTGTAACACCTTTCCGAGATCGTAGTTGATGTCGCCCTCGGGAGTGAGATAGTTCTCCAGCTGGCACCTCACATCAATGAAGCTGACAGTTCTCTCATCATCTGAAATGATGGCGTTGCTAAACACGGGATCACCGTGGATGACGTTTGCGTGAACGCCCTTCTCCTCTGCCTCATATGTGTCGAGAAACTCATCTAGGCGCGCAAATAGCGAGGCAGCTAATGGACCCAGCGCATCGTAGCGATCGCGGTGCTGGAAATACCTACTGCGCAGCTTGGTACCGTAGTTGGCGTAGATGTTGATGGGGTGATCACCAGGCGCCTTTGGTGCAAATTTAGCCTCAAGCGCCTCGGGGACGTCCATGACCGGCTGTGAAGTGGTATTTGGTGCAGTGTGAATAGTGTGAAGGGTCTCCAGGAATTTTGTCAGCCGGCCTTTGGTGATTGAGCGCCCGACGAGGAGATGTGAGAATGTGCGGCCACGACGATTCTCCATGGTGATGCTATAGGTTGAAGTGGCGGGGATGTAATCCACGCTATAAACAGAAGGGAAGATACGAGACAGTGTAGGCGGCATGTGAGCGTAGAAATACAGCTCACCGAGAATAGCCTCAGATTTGCTCGACTTAATGACCTTGTCCCTAATGATCTGGACAGTGTTGAAGTCGCGCGCGGCAATCATGCCAGCCTTCTTGACATCCTCGGCCGAACTCCTACGTACTTGGCCGAGACGAGGTGTGACTTCAGGCTCGTCGAGGATCCACCCGAGTTCACGCGCGGTGTCGAGATTGGCGTTGACAGCCAAGTCATCAACGTAGACGTCGGCATAGGGCTTGCCGAAGTTGATCTCGTGGTAGGGGATCTCGTAGTCTGAGAGCTGTTTGAAGGTGACGAGACCGACGTCAGCGAGGACTCTGCCGGGGTTGCCGGAATGAGTCTTCATCCTGCGAGCTGTTTGCTGGGAGTATGTCAGTATATAACTTGGAGAATAGGTCTGATGTACTTACGATGATGATGTAGTGACCAGCCTTGTACAGCTGCTGCACAAGACGAATATTCTTAGAGATAGGTGGACAGGTTGAGTAATCACCCGAAACAGCGGGGACTCCCACGAGGGTCATGTCCAAGTCGAAGCAGAACCTGCGCTTCTTCAACGTGGCAGGCATGCTATGGTTGTCTTTCTTAAGAGCAGCGAGAAGCTCCTGCAGCTGCTCTGGGGTGCCAACGACAGCAAAGTCCTTCTTCAGGAGAGGCAAGCCGATGAAGGGAACACCGCTCTGGACCATCATGGAGATGACTTGTGAGGTGTAGTACTCGCCGACTTCAGCACCGTCGGGATGTTTCACGTCGAGGTTCTCAGCGGCCCAGGTCTTGAGGTCGGCGGCGGAGGGGAAGACGTAAGCTCCTGTGTTGGCTTTGTTGCTGATTGCTTTCTTCTCTTGGATGTCGACAATCCGCTCTGCGCCGGGTCTGGACATAGAAGTCAGCATGGGAGGCAAGGTAGGAATTGGACTGGCAACTTACGATTCGTTTTCTGTCTGGATGTAAGAGAAGATGGGCTTGTCGCCCTGGTCGATGAAGTAGAAGCAGCCACCATGGCCGCTGGGTAGCTTCCGCACAGATGACAAGATGTCATTCCAATAAATTGTATCGCAATCAAGAGATACAGTTCGGTATCGCAGGTGCTCTTTGGTCATGCTCTGGGTGACCATGTATAGCTGAGGCGGGGCGGGCAGTGTTAGACCATGGTTATATAGGCAAAGGTGATGATTGGTGATGCACTTACAGTCTCACTAGCACCCTTCGTCTGATGTCTCAGCAGTAGAAGCTTCATATTGACCTTCGGAAAGTTCTTGCTAACAAGCTGACCGATTCTGAACTCATGGTCAATCTGCTCATTGACAGCAATCCATAGAGTGTCTTTGGGGCGGAGGCTGAGGTTTTCGATCAACCATAGGAGCATCGGCTGCCCAACAATGTTGATGAGGGGCTTTGGGAACCGATATCCCTCCTTGGCAAAACGGGAACCGATACCGCCAATGGGGATGATGACATTGACTGGCTCATAGTCATTTGTGTGGCCGTTGATGCCATTGGTAACAGCGTTATCATGAATGTGAGGCATGATGAAGTATGTAAAACTACCGCTGAGTTTAGATAATGAAGGAACTGATCGATGCGAATCTCGTGGTGATCAATCACTTTAAATCGTCTTTCACCAGGACAGCCTTTGAGCGGGAGTAGTTAGTCTCTTTACCTTCATACTTCCTACCAGAAACCCATCCCCCCAAGCGCACTTGTCGATGTTCGAGAGGCACGCCACTCGCTCCAGACTCACCTCCATCAACCGCCCAGATCAGTTAACAAAACCATATGGCTATAGCTCTCGACCGAAACCGGGTTCGGCGCGAGCCAGAAAACGTTCTCGACGGGATGCACAAGGTTTGGCGTTAGTTCCACCACAAAAGCGGAAATCTAGTCAAGGAATGTTATTTTGATCGTAGGAGGAAAGATGGACGGGTAGGTATCGCGACGGAAGGCTTTCCGGACCCTTGTTAAGCGAATGGAAAGTAAATTAACGGTCTGGAAGGTCGATAGCTACCATGGCGATCTCGTATCCGTCAGAATGGTTGTTGAGGTATTGGACTGGCATGCTGGCCGCCGCATCTGGACTAGAGTGATATTTTTACAGTGTGTGATTGACTAGAGGGGCTGCTGTAGAAGAGATGAGACAGTCGCAGGGCCCTGATTCAGACGAGACACATCACCAAGCAACGACAGTGCAATCGAAGAGTGGTTGCAGTTCCTGATTATTGCTGTGAATTGTGTGCACCCATAAATGCTTGCGCTGCTATAGCAATTGTTTTGAGTGAAGCGCCCCTGTCACTGCACGCTTTCCACGATGTCCGTATTGGGCCTGATCGCTAAAGCGGCGCGCCACAAAGGTACACTAACTAACTCAACTAACAAAGCTTGCACCAGTCGAAATACATGGGAATGATGGAATGATCCAGACATGTCATACCGCAATCTGGATCTGCCCTGGAATATCTGAATGCAGATCCCAACACAGCTTCTCACACAATACCCTTGTTCAGACACCAATATCCCTCTGGACCCTTGGCCGCAAACAGGGGCAAAAAGAAAAACAAGCTTTCAGCCCCCGGGTCCCGGCAACGGAAACCCCATTTCTCGGTGACACCTTTCAGCCCTAAACCTCAGACCCTCTAGAATCCCGTTTGGAGCGCCCACTACCGAATACAGCATGCCTCAGGGTCCCTGTTCCTGGTTAGCGGCCAGCCGCGATTCGCCAGGTGAGGAATGTGGCGTCTTGTTGAGTTATGTGAACGGCCGCGAGCTGATATCTGTGGCGTGGTTCTCGACGCAGGAACAGCATGAAGCGTCGTATCGTTACGGTTGCAGAGGCACAAGCTAATCGCTCAAGTAATACTAAACTTCACCACGCACTTCGCTTTTTGTTCTGTTCTTCTCAATCTACTCTTCGAAAAGTAGACGCCGCAGAAACAAATCATGTCTGCAACACGGTTTCTTCGAAAGCTATCGCTGCGCAACAGCAGCCCCCAACGAGCAGCGTACATCGCGGCGCTGGGGCTCGTCGGTATCCAAGTCGGCATCGGCGTTATCATGAAGACTGCGCAGAGCGGGGGTTCATATGCATTTTCACCATCGGGATCCATCACCATCTCCGAGTTTCTCAAATTGATCCTCTCTTCGATATTCTTCTACCGCGAGTGTAAGACCAGGGCGCAGACGGGTGTTGGGCCGTCGACGCGAGGTTCGGATACGGCGTATGCGTCGCTGCCGGATGATCATCGCGACTTGGAGATTCAGGATAAAGACGGCGATGCGTCGTCGCTTACTGCGATGGACTCGGACGATGAGGGATCAAGAGATTCAGGGTCTTCATCGGCGGCGCTGCCTTTTGGTCTCCGGACATTTTGGGGATATATTCGTGGTGAGGTGAGGAATGATGTGCGGTTCGGGTTTTACAACTTGGCGCTCATTTACATTCTCATCAACAACTCGGTCAGTAATTCCTTTTCCCTTGTACCTTTCAGCAGGGGCTAATGATGATTGATCAGCTCTTCTTGAGTTATAAAATGGCAGATCCAGGCACGATCCAATTGACAAAAAGCGGCGTCACGCTCATCACAGCCCTGGTCATGATTGCGACACTCAATCAGCAGGTGTCCAAGACGCAATGGATGGCAATCGCCATGCAGGTACGGCTCAACCCCCAAACATCTCGAGAACGAATGCCTAACAAATGACCCCTGCAGCTCAGTGGCCTGATCGTCACGCAATATCAGCCTGGCAAGGGCGCCCTCTATCCTCTCGACACATATGCCCTTCTTCTTTTCCAGGTCTTTCTCAGCGCTTCATCCGGCGTGTACAACCAAGTTCTTCTCAAAGCAGATGATTCCAGCCTACACGCTAACAACATGATCCTGTACGCATCTGGCACAATCGTCAACTTTGTCTGCCATATCACCATCAAATGCGTAAGCTCCAACGAGCCGGGGTTCTTTGAGGGATACGGAAGCATCCATGCCATTCTGGTCATTATGAGCAATGTCTTCATCGGCCTTGCAATCACTGCCGTGTATAAGTGTAAGTCCAGGTCTCCCTCTTCCTCCTGCAACCCTAGGCTGACCAACGTTTCTCCATGGCAGATGCCGACGCGCTGGTCAAATGTTTCGCGACAGCCTTTTCGACCGGAATATTGCTCTACCTAGCACCTCTGATCTCAGATACTTCCCTCAGCTTTCTCGTTATTCCAGGCACATTTATCATCTTTGTCGCTACCTGGCTCTACATGGAGAATCCCGCTCCTAAGCCTACTACTACCAAATCTGATTCCGATCCCAAGACAGGTTTCTTCTCCAAACTTGGCGCCATTGTTCAGAACAAGAGGATATTGTTTATCTTCATCAACACTCTCATTACGGTCATGGCGGTTATGGCTTTGGCTATGTACCAAGTAGCCATGCCTACCAAGTCTATTTCCACTACACCAACTGATGCAAGCACGTTGGCGGTGGCAACAACACAAGATGTCGATGCTCCAAAGATCGTCACATCTCCTTTCAAAAACACCATGGCCTTCATCAGATGGAACTCTGTTCATCCTGAGCGCATCCCAACGTTGATGAAGTACAAGCCCTTCTTCCGCGACATTCACATCTCAATGCCCGATATGATGAAAGCCGAAGGACGCAAGCCGGAGTATCACAACATCACTCATGATCAAAGCACCCTCACCTTTCACATTTACCAGCAGGTCGCCGATACAATGCAGTTGATCCTCGACGAGGATCCAGAGATTGACGGCCTCTTGTACTACCACTTCGACGCCTGGATCGATCCTCTGGCCTGGGGCGGTATTGATCGCAACAAGATCTACTTCCCCATGACATGGCCTGAGATGAAGCCTGTAGGACCCCAGTTCTCCTGCATGAATGACACCAAGGGCTATGACTGGGGTGGATGGGGCGGTCCTCACTACCATCTCAAAGCGCAACTTGCCAGCGCCCAGCTGGATCATCTGGACCTAGGCTTCAAAATTGATATCAATGAGTTTTGTGTCGGCTGGAGCGACATCTACTTCATCCCTCGCAAATTCTTCAAGGACTACATCATCGCAGCACCAATCTTCAAGTCCTTCGACGTCTTCCACGAAGTCGGCATCCCAACGATGCTGCACATCATCGAGCAAAGCCATCGCGAGTCGCCGTACGTGCCCGCGATGGAATTGTTCTCAGACTGCTGGGGCTACTGCTGCAAGGACAACCCCAGCATCTACGATGTCACCACGTATCGGTGCGGGCATCGTCTTGATTACCGTAATGAACAGGTGACCGGGGCTTTTTACGAGAAGCTCGATGCAGAAGCCAAGTTTCTTGGACAGCCTATGAATGGGTCACATGTTGCGAATCTTACTGAGATGTTTCCGCCAATAAAGGAGGAGGATAAAGCGAAATTGCCAGCGCGGAGGGGGAAGAGGTAGTTGGCCAATAGATAGTTAGATGAGACTGTACTGTTAAAAGCGCGATAGCCAATCAATTTTGTTATTGGAAGATATGCCTTGGTACTAAGCACATTGAAATTCTGATGAAGGTAAACAAAGTTGTTGGGCGAGTAGAGTTTGGGTCTCACGTACGAGCTTCTAATCACGCGTCCACACATTAGTGCTATGTCATGAACTTCAAAGCATGTTTCAGGAGGACAAAGTTGCTATGAAGATACTCTTTATCCATCTTCTCTAGGTCCAGTCTGCCTGCCTTGTTTTCACAACTAACCCTATCACAGAGTCCAAGATTGAAGGTTTTCAGTCGTGTGTGTTCAGTGCGCCGTATGTGTTTTTTTGGTGTTCTTTACCTTTATGGCCTTGAGGCTGAAGCCTCTTTTGACCCCTCAACCCTATCACAGATCAAGAAGTACTAACACCGCTTACCCCTCATCAACAGCTGTGCCAACCTTCTTCCTTCATCCCGTTCAACCGGCGTGTTTATTCCCTCTCATCGTCCTGCCCCTATACGCAAACATACCGATCCTCTAACCGACCTCATGGAAACCATCATGGAGACTCCTTGCTCGCGGTCAGGCGATTCCATTGAGAACTCACACCTTGACATCATTACAATTCCATACCGTGGATACTCCTTATTTACAGCATCTCCGTATCTTGTCATGTCTTCTATGATAGACTCGAACCAATATCGCGAGGAATGTTCTCGCTATGACTCGAGGTATCTCAACACAACTTCGCCCCCATGGATCTCGTTATCAAAAGATATGCAAGCTTCGATCAAAAAGGAGTTCGAGTACATGTTCTTCGAGGGAACAGCTTTATATCTGCACTCGGTAGATGACTACGTCGCTGGATGGTATGCAACTTGGGAACTTCCAGTCGCCAGATATCGTCAACCGGCACAGGTCAATATTGATCAAGACGAAATATTCAAATTCTTTAATAAGGAGATTGCGATATATATTGATACAGCTACTGTTGAGGAAATGGACTTGGGCTACCTGGGTCGATACTTATACCGTGCAGGGCTGCACTTGTATCAAGGACGTCCGCCATTCCAACGTGGAGGCTTCTTTGCAAAGCCCATTCGAATTTCCAAGAAACTCACTGGATATTTAAATGCTCTGCCATCATTCCACAGAGATCTGACAGATACCCTTTCTGTGCATCTTCACGATCTTGCGCAATTTGAACAAGGCGGAGAACACTCAACGATTACTCCACAGCCAGTCAACCCATCAGTGCAATCTTTCAGGGAGCATGGATATCTAATGTGACCGCTCTTCCGTGCAATCTATATGGTTGTGGACAACCAGAGTCTAGCGGGCTACACCATGACCCCCTATGCATTTGAACGGGAAAATGAAGATTGGATGGCGCTTCGGAGCCAGTTTCGCGCCAACCAAGTCTCGAGCCGTACTGTTCTACTAGTCAAAACGGGGGACGATTCCCACCTTTCCTCCCCGATTAGCTTCCTGCCCCTCTTCGAAGCTGGTCTGACGCTCAACGTCAACCGTGAAGATTACCAGGATGAAGAGGAACCGAAGGTCGTCCGGGTCAAGATAGATGATGCCATTTCGTTTATCTGGGATCTCCTTACGAGGGAGATGAATTGCAACAAAGCGATTATTAACTTGGCTGAGACTCTGAGACAAGAACAGGATGTATACTGTCAAGCTTGGGTCAGCAAGGTTGTGGAGCATGCCCAGGAAGTCGGGATTGATGTTAATGGCTATTCTTGGCAAGCTATTCGGCGTGCTCTGGCAAGGATGAATAGTGAAGTATTCGATGAAGACCAGATTAACCCACATTGGGAGACGTTGATTTGGTGGAAGTGCACTGGGTAATAAATCGGGGGTAAGGAGAGGAAGCTATATGTTCCAAGAGCGTGCTGTTTGATACTCAGGATAAGCATTAGTAGACTATACAACCAACTTAGTCAACAGCCTCATTTGCATATACATACTATAAGCTTCCAAACGATAAACTATTTAAGAAGTATTATTTTCGTCTCACATGGCTATCTATTTAGCGATGCCGCAACGATGCTACCGTGATGCCACTGGTGCAGTTACGGCTACCTTATCATTGTCCCGCGAGCCCCGAAACACCACACATCGAGTGCAATCCTTCAGCTATCAATCATAAATATAACCCATCATCAAAACTCATCCAAAGAAATCAAAATCACATCTAAGACTTAGACTATAACGTAGACCATAACTCTCGCCAACATACCATGGCGCTCCTATCATGGTGTCAAGTCGTGTGGCATACCTGCATCTTGGTCTGTCGACTCCTTCTGCTAGTTCCAGCAGAAAACATCATCGTCGGTGGCGAGAGAGCTGGTGGCCATCTTGCAATCAAAATTCGATCAGGCTTTGACCTGTATGGCTCGGGGTTCATCTAATCAGATATCCACTTCCTCCTATGTGCATTTCTATCATGGCCAAGTGAGGTTTGCTTTTCGGGGTTCCAAGGTACCATCAGCAGAAGACTGCATGCATTCCACAGCAATCACACCCTTCTTCAAGTTCACTCTCAAACTCGGCAACTTCACCCGACACTCTGCCGGAACGAATTCTAGTCCACTACAGCTCTGTTCCTCGATGCTCACTATCCACTCGGCAACCTTTGCCGCCTGCAAACTGTGCCAGATTCCATTGGTGCAAGGCCATTCCCGGAGTATAGCGATAGCCTCCCTGCGCACGAAGAAGTTCCGGCATCTAGTAGCTGTAAAGAACAACGCCATGATCAGTCCCATGCCATATTGCAATCTCGGGCCATCCAAGTCCCGAAGTTCCTGGTCCTTCTGGAGTACATATCGCGCAAAATGGGTGATCCTTTGGAATTGCGCTGTGAAATCGTCAAAGACGGATTCTGTGTCAGACATGCTCGTAGCAATCAGAATTTCGCACTTCCAGGCACATATTCGAACTTGGAGGATGCCAAGATGCTCTCTGTCAGTAATCTTTCGGCATGCTTCGAGAAACATAACTTCATATGCCTTGCCCCATTGATCCATTAATCTCTGGAGGTGCTGTTTCTGTTGTGCAAGAAAGTCCTGAGATGCTGGATCATTTTCGCAGCGGAAAGATATCTTGGAATGTCGAAGAATGGAAACAGCAAGTTTAGTCACTGCTGTGAAAGCTTCGTTGAAGGTAGTGAACTGATCCGGCAGATCCGATACGGTTTCCTCAGGATTCAGGTCATTCGGATGCTGCTCCAACATGGGGCTCATAGCGAGAAATGACAATATTTGCAGCTCGAGGCGACGCAAAGTTAGCCCCACGTCGATATCAATATCAGCAAGGCTATCGGTCGCTTCCCGCCTCTCGTCTTCACTGAGAAGTTTCAAGATATTGAATCCGTTATATACCTGGTGTGTCGCTGTCTCCCAGTCCCCATGGAAACTCTCAAAGCATGAAAAGAGTAGACTCGCTACGAGCGCAAGCCTCATCTGAGGTTGTCCACTAGACAGATCATTGCGTAGCGATCGAATGGCTTGCCTCTGTTGTATCAAAGCAAAGCTATAATGCTCATCGTTTAGATTAACCGTATGAGAACTAGAGGATAATGCAGATTTGTATAGAGCACTGAGTGCCAAAACTGCATGTTTTATCCCTGGGTTGTGATGGCATTGTTGTGGTATGAGCCGAGTCCAAAAGGGAGCTTCATGATAACCACTCAAATCGAAGGCCAGCTTCTCTTGAAATACTTTAAAATACCGGGCTTCTACCTCGTCGCAGCAAGGAGAATCTGAAGGGTTAGATATAAGCTGCACTGGACGTCGAGGTTGAATAGGAATGAGGTCCCTGCTGCCATCCTTGACTTTGGATGCCGTTTCTTTGGGTCGAGGGAGCTGGTACTCGCAGAATGCTCCGTATTCTTCACATCTATAGAGTAAGCGTAAGAAGTTGGCCAGTTAAGCACACTTTAGAGCTTGTCACTTCAAGAAAGTCACTCCCCGATTACCTACCGATCACATTTTGGCTTTGTCTCATCGCATTTGACACGCCGACTCCTAATATAGGGATTAGCGCTTTGAATAAAGTCCCCGGTTCGCCTAGCCGGGAAATGGGAGGAGGCCTTACTTGCAAGCCGTACAACCCGTACGAGCTTTTGGTCTGCTCGCGCGCCGTTTCTTTTTATTGCGCACAGCGCCTTCCATTAGGGTAACAGCAGTCAGGTGCTTAAAAGCGCTGAAAAGTACTAGCTTAGCCTAGTCTTGCCGCCTCTGCTTCTCCTTAAGCTGTGAGAGGGGGTCAAGGGCTGTTGAAGCTTCAATTATTTCTTGGCCTGATTATGAATGTCGTGAATTCAGCGGAAAGGGCGAGAAATGATAAGTATTGGTTTATTGCATAAATAGCCTATTGCAGCCTAAGGCACCTAGAAGTTTTAAAATTTCCTCTATATTTACTACAAAATAATTAATAACTATACTATTTAAATAGAAATATAATTAAATAAAACCTTTATTAAAATTAATATCTTAAAGGACTTAAGGATTACTATACTTTAAATATCTTTAAACTTAAAATACTTCTAATAGCTAGGAAGAAGTAAGGCTAGAGTGTGGCCTTTTTTATTATTTATAATAGCAAAAAGGCAGTAAAGCTTAGGCACCTAAAAGCCTATACCACTATACTGAATCCAGCTGTAATAGTGGAGGCAGTGTAATCCTTCTGTTGCACTATATTCGCCTGGATATCAGTAGTTCGGGACATGCCATCGCAAATTGCCTAACGCTAAGGTCTAGAACACCATAAGAAAGTAGTATCGGCAATAGCTGTAATAAATAAAGTCAATTGCAGCGCTGCACTGGAATTCACTTGCCTTATTAATTAAGGGTATATAATAGCATACAAAACATACAGTTAAGATTTATATGCTATCCAGCTCGGCAACCTGAGATACGTACCGTCTACTCAGAATGGTAGTCTCAGGTCTTTCTCAAATGAACACCACTTGCTCTCTACTGCAGATGCCAAGTGGTTCTTTCCACCAGATACATAGATCTGACTCTGTCTCTAATAGCGAGGTACGTTTGGTTCTACATCGGGTCATGCCGCTAATGCGCAGGGCTTGGGCAAGGCTGAGTTGAAGCTAATTGTTGACTCAGGCTCCGAATTCCCGGTTTGACGGCTTATACCATTGCAAAAATGGAAGTAACCTTATTGATCTTTAGCCTTGGCAAGGAGCTTTCCGCCATTCAAGTTCTGTAACTATTCAGATAAGCACTAGATTTATTAACTTGCGCTACTAACCGTCGCTACAGATTTAAGTCAATATGTCTTTTCACAAGAGGCTCGGGTAATTCCTAAATATCGATAATTTAACTTATTAAGTCTATACAAGCTACAGGTTTAAAAGGGACAAGAATTCCATATATGACATCTCATTTTTCAACTCTAGCATCATAACATCTCAAGCCTACAATACATCTAAAGCTCCCAATCTCTTCCAGCCCGCAAGAATGGCCAAGTTCAACAGCCCCTTTCATTCACTCGTCCAGGTCCTTGCAGCCTTACCATTCTTCTCAACCACGGCAGCCGCAACTGCGCCACTCAGCAACACGCAGCTGATCCCTGCCAATACCATCACTGCCTGCTACGACAGTGACGCCAACTCCTTGCTTCTCTATGCCTCCGGCACACATGTCGACATCACCAAAGACATTGCCTTTGTCCAAAAGCCCCTCGATGGCGGGCTTCTCTTCGACCTCCAAGGTCAAGTTGGTCCCGTCACCAATGGGCAGTCCTACTACGAAATTACGGACAATTTTGACATTGAGCTCCCCAGCATGGTCTATCCATCCGACACTGTGGTTGTCAACACTGAGAACCATAAACAATGGGTTGTTGATATTTTGTACAGCGACGACGGTTGCGCCAGTATGGGCTCTAGTCTTGGTAGCCACCAGCGAAAGGCTAGACGTCACTCAAACTAGCGACGGGGGGATGAAAACTACTTCATAGTTTAAAGTATTTTTATATTATTAGTTTTACATATAGGGTCATCAAGAAAGGAAATCAATTTCTGTCTCAGTCTCTTATAATATAAGTACAGTAATAGCAGTTGAGATTAATTGTGTGCATTAAAAACAGGCAGTAAATCCGATGGCCAACTGAAAGAGCGCGGACGACCTGGAGCGACTTCTCCAAGAGGCTACAGCATCTCACGGCAGGTAGTTAATCGCTGTAAATTCACTAGCCAATCGTCCTCGTATAAATCAGCCAATCACTCTCGTATAAACCCACCAATCGCTTCCGTATTCAAGGATTCGATAACGCTTGTCTAGATCAGGTCATGAGTCCTTAGCTATGTAAGGTGCATGACAGCGCTTACAGCGAACCTACCATCAAGGGAACACCAGCCAATGGAATATAATAAACAATTCCATATTCACTCACCCTTGATTATTGCCTTCACCAGTTGTTGATAGAGAATTGCTTATTTCAGATACTCATTCACGCCATGCAGTTTTTAGTCAATCCAACCTCGTTATATATTCACGGTGTATAATACTTAGATAGCTATCTAGTTGAGGGTAACCAGCTCCTCTGCACTCGTCGGATGAATCGCAACGCAGCTATCGAAATCCATCTTTGTAGCCCCCATCTTAATCGCTACCCCAAACCCTTGCAATATCTCCCCACTCCCCAAGCCAAAAATATGCAATCCCACGACCTTCTCGTCCTTCCCCTGGCAAATAAGCTTGTATCTGGAGGGCCCTTTATCCTCCATTATGGTATAATAGGTCGCCGTGAAGGAGGTCTTATAGATCTTGATGTTATCCCTCCCGTATTTCTTCTCAGCCTCTTGTTGCGTGAGGCCAATGGTGCCG